TAAAATTATTTCAATACTTTTTGTCTATTTTTCCCATCCCAGCCTCCCCTGCCCCTTGTAACAAGGAATTCTAGGCGAGAGAAAGAAGAGATTGCAACAACATGAGAAATATGCTGAGTGAAATAGGCCAGGTGCTGAAAGACAAATACCATATGATCTCACCTTTAACAGGAAGCTAAACAACAAAACAAACAAGTAAGCTGAAACAGTAAACATTTTTTTAAGTAGGTTGCTACAGCATTTTAAATCAGATCTGAACAAATCGACCGCCTCTCCAAGTTCCTAACTTCTCAAGATTTGCAAAGGCTCCCTGCTGTGGGATTTGGGGGAGAAATCTAAATGGATTATGAGACCAAAATTTAACCACAAATAGAAATGAGTCGGTTGCAAGAATGAGACTCTTTTAATCACTTAAATTGACTGAAACATGTCTGGACTGATAAGCCCTCAGAGAGCTTCTTCAGGAAAGAAGTATCTCTAGACCTCCACTGGGGACTCTCCCTGGAAAGTGACATCAGGGTTCTCCCAGCAGCTTTTATATCCAATGGCCAGCTGCCTGTCACATGCCTGAAGAGTGGAAAGAATGTAGAGTTTCAGTTCTGCTACTGACTAGCTGCTGGTGAACTCACCACCACTCTGAGCCTTGCTTCCCTTGCAAATTGAGGATGCTTATGATTTTTCTGCTCCATTCAATATTATCGTGAGAATAGTTTGGTGCCAGAAGTATAAAGTCATCTGTGATGAAAGGAAATGCAATGTTGTGCCTTCCTGGGTTCCACAGTACACAGATCCAAGCAGTGTGTACAAGAATGATACCTCACAGCTCGTGAGGGTTGGCTGAATGTGCCCCCTCTTCCTGCCTTCAAGGAGCACAGACAGTGGGATTTGGACTTGGTCTCTTAATGCTTAACTTCTTTATTCACATGTATGATGTACTTGAAAACACCATTTATGATCACTTAACATCGTTAACTCATTTATACATGACCCGAGAGCATTAAATGTGTCTAAATATCCAGGCTAGTTAATCATATATTTTATAGGAACTAGTGATTTAAAAAACAAAATATGCAGAGAAAGCAAGAAGATGGATATGTATTTTAAAAGATGAGTTAATTTGAGAGTGAAATCCCACCTGGTATGCATGAGGAAAGCAGTTAATTAAATTCTTTGAAAGGAGTGAACTGGACCCCCGAGGCTGGTGGAGCTGGTTACAACAGCAGTTTCCGACCAGCCTGCTGCAGGAATTTTAAAACATGCAATACCTGACAATTTAGTCAGGGCCACTGACCTCTTTTCCCTTAGATCATCAAATTAAAAGAAAATGACAGCAAACAGCACAACAATAGCTGTCCAGTATGAATGAATCAAAAGTATGCCTATTGTTTTGGTGTGCCACAGAATTTTAGCAATTAGTTTATGTGTTTAAAATGCAGTGTTGATCATGCTCTGTAGGGTATTTGACCCTCACGAGGACTGTTCAGTTTTGGATTCTTACCCATCCATAGTCTCCACTCTTAACCACAAGCTTCCCACTTTGAAAATGTCTCCCTGTGCACAGAGCTGAGAGCGTAATAGGGGGCTGATGCACATCCAACCTCCCTAGTAAAAAAAAACAACTCCGAGGGGAAGGATGTGCCCCACGATCACCACCCTGCCCAGGACAGAGTAACGCTGCCCTCCTAGTCAAAGGTCAGCAGGGCCATGGTCAGAGTTGCTCCTGAAGAGGGGGCGATGGTCTCCTAGGTAAGGGTGGAGGGACACCAAAAGTCCACACTGTGTCATTCACTTCTCTAAATCCTCTTTGACCTCTCAGTTAAAAACATTTATAGCTGCCATCTTTGTCTCCTTTGTCTCATTATTCGACAGAATAATGCTTTGGTATCTTTTGCTCCTGTTAGAGACAATTTCTTCCTTAATTATATAAAGGTCATATAATGTATCTTTGCACTTGACATTCACATAAAAAACTGCAGTCCTTGTTATTCCCTTCAGAATGGTGTTCACTTTAATTAATTCCTAATTAATTTCTGCCTTTTCCCAAAGGAAAAAACAATGATTTTTTTTGTGATACTTAAATTCACTAATGCGTTCACAATCTTTATCTATTACATTCATGAAATTAAACTTATATGGCTATCACCTTTGCAATCTTTACAGTTAATTTTTGATAACAAAATGGGAATAAAAACTTTTTCACCTATCACCATATAACTGCAAAAATAAATTTAATTACTAGTGTATGGCTATAACTTTAAGCAAATCATTTCCCCTTTATTACCTGTAAAATGGGAGTGCAGAGGTGATTTCTGTTCCCTTTTCCCATTAAAACATTGGCATTTCATGATATAAAGTCTCAGTGCTGGCTCCCGGCTTCAGTGCTCACTTCCCTTCACTTGGTCTATGTTGTATGTTATGAGAGAGGAGATATGGAATTATCAAAAGCCCCCTCTATGTTGGGGAATTCTCTTTATCTTGCTTGAAATATATGGTACACATTCCTTTTCTCTGGGGGGATAATTCTGAAATAACACTAACTGTAGTGCCCTTTATTTATTTAAAAACGAGTGGCATTTTGTGTATTCCCAGTGTGCATGAACCCTTTGTACATAATAATCAATATTATAATACTTTCATTACCTTTTATTATAGTAAATTTTAAAGATTTTTCATTTATTTTGTATTATTTATCTTTAGAGGGGAAGGGAAGGAGAGAGGGAGAGAAATATCAATGTGTGGTTGCCTCTCATGCGTTCCCCTGCTGGGAACTGGCCTGCAACCCAAGCATGTGCCCTGACTGGGAATCGAACCACGATCCTCTGGTTCACAGGCCCATGCTCAATCCACTGAGCTATACCAGCCAGGGTTTTTATAGTAAATTTTAAACATACATAAAAGTAGAGGGAGAACCAGAATAAGTGTCAATGTGCCCATTTGCAGCTTCACTGGGTGACAACAAGTAGTCAATTTTGCGGCACTTGGAGTTCACCTCCACCTTTCAGGTGTGATTATTTTAAAGCCACTTTTGGATATCACATCATTTCATTAGTAAATACCTGCACGTGTATTTCTAAAAGAGAACTCTTTGTTTTTCTTGACTGCATCAACATTATCATGCTTAAAAATTAATAATAATCACTTAAATTAATCAAATATGAACTATAGAAATTTCTCTGATTCTCATTAATAATATGTTTGCAGTTGGTATGTGAGAATACTGATCTCAATAACATCAAAACATTACATGTGTCTGAAATGTCTTCAAGACCTTCTTTATAATTCCTTCTCTTATTTAATTCCTACAATTTGATGGCCCTAAAAATTCAAGCCTTTTTTTCTATCAAGTTTCACACATTCTACAATTTGCTGATTGCATTGCTGTGGCATTTTATATGGATTTCTTCCTCCTCCTTTCTATACACTTAGATGCTTAGCTGGCATGACTGTGTTATAGAAGTGTTTTCTCTTTATCTTCCAATTTGTTATTTAAAAAGTATTTTATTGACTAATTTCTTTATGAGAGAAAAACAGAAAGAAGGAAGGAGGGAGGGAGAGAGAAAGAGAGGCAGTGGGAGAGAGAGAGAGAGATCAATTTGTTATTCCATTTATTTATGCATTCATTGGTTTCTTCTTGTATGTGTCCTGATGAACTATTGAACACGCAAACTTAGCATACTGGGACAATACTCTAACCAGCTGAACTACCTGGCCAGGGCCACTTTACTGGATTAAGAAGAAAACAAAAAGAGGTCTGGTTGCCCTCTTTTTGTGTTGTTAACCTTACTAATATGCTCAGATATCATCAGCTTGATTCATTAATGTTTTTCAACTAATGCCTTCAGCAAAAATTGGTGATTATTTTCCAGAATCTTCATTTCATTGGAGATTTCAAATTGGTAATATTTTGTGTATCATTACTTCATAATTTACTGATTAGAACTCATTGTTTATAATAGCAAAATTTATTGTTTGTAATAGCAAAAACTTATTGCAAACAATCTAAATGTCCAAAAACAGTTGACACTAATCAGGGGCACTGACCTCTTTTCCCTTTAAATTTAGGGCAGACACTAAAAACGAAATTATAGATCCATGTTGATAAGAACAGAATGATCTACAGGTCAAAACAGAATATAAATCTATACTGACATGAACATATATTGTGTTAAAAGCAGGTTGCAAAGTATAATGTATACTTGGGTGTACTATTTATTAAAAAGGATAATTTTATATGAATAGATAAAGATATATAGATATATGCATAGAAAAATTCTGAAAGTCTATACTTGCAAATGTAACATATTTATTGATGTCTGGATGGTGGGGTTTGAGTAATTTTCTCTTTCCACTTTACATACTTTCATTAACACATGAATATTTTTCAAAGTTAACAATAAAAAGTAAATATAATTGAAATTTTACATTTTTATGTTTAAAGGAGTATTTTCAGCCAACGATAAAAAAATCTACTTGAAAGAACCCAGTAAATCAATTTTAATTTGTAAATAAGATCCCTGTTCACTGTCATTTAATCCTAATGTACCCCTGTTTCTTTTTCCCTTAAATCTCACAGTCCAGATTATAGGTGAGTGTTTTGCTGTTACCATGATTGTTACCATCCAACCTAAAAAATGTTTAGCCTGAACTTGATGCTTCTTATCACCTGTGAAATTGCTGATTTTATCTCGAACCAGCTGCTGGAAAGGTTTGGACTCTCCAACAGATGCCTTTGCCACCACTAACGTTCCATGGTTGTTGGAGACTCTGTACATATTACGCTATTTAATCTTCAGAGCCATCCTCTGATATGAGTGTTGATAACCTTATTTTACAGATGGGAGAAAGGCCCATTTTCACAGCTAATAAACCCTTACACTGGACTACCCCTACACCCCTGCCCCTACCCAGCATTTTTTACTCGAAGACTCATTGTTTGCCTGCTTGACCACTACATTTCCAGATCAACCTCATTTGCTTTTCTTCTGCCTTGAAAGCCTTACCTGCCAAGTCTGAACTGCACAGAGACTGTCTCACTTAGTTCTCTGCCGCCGCATTTCTGTTGGAATAGATGACCTTATCCGTCAGTGTCTAAACTCTCATGGCACCAGCACAATTTCAGTTCCTGTAACCACCCAACCCCACCCATCACCCTATGTACTGAGATAGTAATACATTGCGAGCTAAGCACACCGATTTCCTACTACTGCCTAAAAATAATCTTTCTTCATTAGTCACATAGAGGAAGCACACCCTTCATTAAAATAAGAAGTTACTGACCTCAGGCATCTGTCTGGAAATACCCTATTTTTACCACCCCCAGCCCCCAGCAAGGCAATAAAGTTGACAGGAAATCTGGCATGATTACTGTAATTGCAACATGTTGAAGCCATTTTTTAAAATTACAAGTAGTGAAAATCTCAGATAACTTTGGCAAGATTTTTTAATCAAAACTTTTTAAGATAACACTTTAGTATACATGTTTCTTTTACATGCTGGTAAATCTCAAAAAAAAAAACCAAGCAATCATAAAAAACATTTATCCAGCTACAATGCATCAACTAATAGGGCAGAGCATCAAGTACAAAGAAGACAAAGAAATGCACTGAGATTGTGAACAAACTTGACCTATATGTAAACCAGGGCATTATAAACATATGGGCATGAAAGCAAAGAGATTGAAGTGGTATGGAAAGCCAAGTGCTGCCATGGTGACATTCTGACTTGTGTATGATAAAGAGATGTTCATTTTACATGACAACCATGCAATAAACTTATACTCGCATTCTGTGGTGCAAAGAACTGTAAGATCATAAACTGGGAGATCTGGATGCAAACCTGACAATATCTATCAAAATAACTCTTATTCTCTGTGAGCCTCATAAAATTGTCCCCTTTATTTATTTGTTTATTTTAAAGATTTTATTATTTATCTTTAGAAGGGAAGGAAAGGAGAGAAGGAGAGAAATATCAGTGTATGGTTGCCTCTCGTGTGTCCCCTGCTGGGAACTGGCCTGCAACCCAGGCATGAGCCCTGACTGGGAGTCAAACCGCAGTTGTTTGGTCCACAAGCCCATGCTCAGTCCACTGAGCTACATCAGCCAGGGCTAAAATTGTCTCCTTTATAAGATGGAATGAAGCTTTTCATCCACCTACCCCACGGAGTTGGGAGATTACAGAACACACATGAGAAAGTGCTTGATAAAACATACAGCACTGTATTAGTATAAGGCTGAGTTATTTGCCAATTACGAGATCCTACCTGTTGTTACCCAACATTCTTATTGGCTGTTTCAAAGATGTACAGTTGTCCAACAAAATGGTTTTGAGTGCCTACAATGTACCATTCCTGTTCTAGGTGCCATGGGTAAATCAGTGAACACAATAAAACTTCCCACCCTCCTGGAGTTTATAGAGCCCCTGAACAGAAACAGAAACTGTAACTAAGACATTTGTCAGGGATATTAATTTTTCCAACTCAGCCAATGTTTGTGTGTACCTCCCATGTGTCAAGCACAATGATGGAATAGAATACACACACTATTGTTGTGGGGCTTACAGCTAAGAAGGCAGACTTGAATCTGTCAAGTTTAAGATGAATTATAATATGGCATAACACAGCTAAGAGGAGACAAATGACTCAAATGTGGGAGTCAGAAAGGCATCCTGAAAGAAGGAAGGACCACTCGCACCTGGGGGCAGAACACAGAATGGGGGTGGCGGGTCATTTTCTCATTCTACTCTGCATTTGAGAGTACAGTGGTCCTGTCTGAGGGAGAGACCTAACACACAAGGGACCCAGAAATCATATCACATAGTAATGAAAGAACTGAAGACATTTAGTCTAGAATGTTAAAGACACACATAACTACCTAATTACAAGTAAGTTAAATTTATTTGATGTAATTTCAGGTAGCAAATTTTAATCAATGGATCTTCCTAAAATTCTTATTCCCACCCCTCCCATTTTTTTCTGAAAATATTCTTCCCTCAATATTTAACCAACATCCCCTAACCTCTATTCCAATATATTCCTTATCCCTCTTCCCTGCTTTATTTTTCTTCATAGTATGCAACATGTTTTGATACACATATATTTTACTTACTTATTATTTATTAATCTGCCTAGTCTCAAAATAATATGTCATGTGAAGGCAGGGATTTTATATGTTTTGTTCATTGATATATTTCAGATTCCTAGAAGAATGTCTTCTAGACTATAAATATTTGTAGAATAAATGAAAAAGAATTATCTAGAATATAAAATAGGTTGCCCCTTACAGTAGTTGACTTCTATCATAGAAGGGTAATGAGTTTGTTTATTAGAGTATTAATGTAATGGGTTAAGAGTAGAACTGAGTGGACTTATGACTTTTTTCTGACAAAACGAAATGGACATGTAATGGCAGGAAACTCATCCCCTCAAATAAGACATGCAGACAATTCTGATCCTTTGTATTTTCTTCTTACATTGGATCAAATCCTGAAACTCTGAAAACTTCATTTAGTAATCCTAATTCTAATATAAATTAATCTTTCATATAGATGTAGACATAAACCTGCTTAGGATGGAAAATATGCCAAAAATATAAGTTTTACCATTATAGTGTTGACATAAAAGTAATGTACATGATCTAAGACATTCCATTTAAGATTATCCCCCCTGCTGTCCTTGTAGATGAGACTGGATCTCCCAGTAGACTGTCTCCCTACAAGTCTGTTTTTCATTGACTCCCATTACCCTTTGTCTGACAGTTGTTCTCCAGTCACCTGATTTTAAATATGGCGTCCTGGCCCGGGAAGCGATGTTATTGGAAAATGGTATGCTTATGAAGTCTTTGTCTTCTTCTTTGGGGCACATATATAACGTGCACAAAATTGTCTTATCACGTATTACTGAATAGAGTATCAGAGAGGGAAATTTACTTCTGAACAAACGTATTTGATTTTCAGAAAAGGATTCTGTCTCAATGGTAAGATTAAATTTATCTTTCATTTTTCTAATTACATTGAAATCCCAATACTTTTACAGTTTTAATGTTAACTTCCTTTTTTCTTCCACAGATTCTGATAATATTTTGGTATTATTCTCAGTAATGATTATAATGGTAGCTAATATTTCTATATTAACTATAATAGTAGTAACATTAACGAAGTGTCCTTAGCACTGTTCTGGATATTTTATAAGTATGAAGTTATTTAACCTTTTTACCAACCCTTTGGTTTAGGCACTACTATTACCCATACTTTAAATTTAAAGAAACAGAACCATAAAGCAGGGAACTTGAGTAAATTTAGGCACTTTGGTTTGGGAAACCTGTGTTCGTGGCTATAATGTAGACTTTAAACTTTGTTGGCAAAGCTTTGGTTAACTAGATATGCAAATGAGTTTAAACAATTGTGTTGATACTAAAAACTTTTGTAGAAAGAGGAAGATGTGGTAGATGCCAAATAGAAAACCATGATTTTTTGTGAAGTCCTGAAAAATATATTTAACTACAGTGGTCAAATTAAAATGCATTTCACTGTGTTTTCATTGTCTTAAGTTTAAGTTATGAAATATATATTTAGTAATTCTTTTGTTCATAGCTTAGTATCTTAGAGCAGTAGTTCTCAAACTTTGTGGATCCCATTTAACCCTCAAAAATAAGTGAGATATCAAAAGAGCTTTTGCTTATATGGGTTATACTTGCAGACATTTATTGTATTAAAAATTAAAACTAATAACTTATTAAATATTTATTTATTTAACAAAAATAATAATATACCCATTACACCTTAACTTAAATAGTATATTTTTGTAAAAAAAATAGCTACATGTTTGAAAACAAAAAGATTAGTGAGAAGAATGATCTTGTTTTCCATGTTTGCAAATATTTAGAATATCTGGCTTAAGAGAAGATAGTTGGATTTTCATATCTGTTTTCCCATTTAATCTGTCACAATATCACACACTACGTAGCCTCTGGAAAACTGCAGTGTGAGCTTGTGAGAAAATGAGAATGAAAAGGCAAACCCGCCGACCACGGTTCGATTCCCAGTCAGGGCACATGCCTGGGTTGCAGGCCAGTTCTCTCCCTCTCTCCTTCCTTTCCCCTCTAAAGATAAATAAATAAAATCTTTAAAAAAAAAGGCAAATAACATTTCCATATTTTATGAAAATAGCACTAACCTTATGGATCCCCTGAAAGAGCCCCCGAGATGGTCAGGGTCCCCAGATCAGGCTTTGAGAACTACTGTCTTAGAATCACCAACTAGAAGAAAAGAACAACAAAAGAAACCTTAGTGCATTTTTTAGATGATTACATGTGCCATAGGTTTTTCTATTTTCAGTTCTGTTCCCATCCCAACTCCCCCGCCTAAAAACAAACAAACAAACAAACAAACAAACCCATAACAGTCTGTGATGTTTCAGAATTTTTAAAGAGTTTGGGAAAATTTCACCCCTGTAAGGACTTTACTATTCATAATATAGTCAACAACCTTAACATATTCCCCGGCTTGTTTTTATCTCTAAGAGCTTCTGTATTATTTCAAAGCATGGAAATAAATAAGTAATGAGAAAGTAAAAAGTATAAGTATTTTTTGCAAGGTCATTAAAATATTTTGAGTTTATTTGTGGAACATGTTTGTTTTACATGCAAGTGTGAGGTCTTCTTTCAAGAACTATGACTGCTTCCCATCTACCAGTTCCTCATATCACCCAGTGTGCAACAACCCACTTTCTCTTGTCTTCATGAACGGGGACCCTGTGGAGCTCTGGGCTTAATGTGGAAAGCAGAGGGCTGTCTCAGTTTCCCAGGGTTACCATGACCTGCTGTCCAGGCTCCATTGCCCAACTGTACTGTCAAAGAGGCTGAGTTCTTGATACCTCTGGAGCCTCTGTACTCATTTAGTGAGAGAGAAATGAAGTTTGACCCTTACGAAACGTGCTTTCAGCTGGGGAAGACTGAAAATAAAGATATAATCTAGTGTTAGGTAGTAACAGACCCTAGGAAAAAAATTAAGCAAGTTATTGCATAAAGAATGACAAAGAAGGGGTTTTAAGGTGATCAGGGTAGGCCTCCCTTAGCCGGTAACATTTGCCCAGAACTCTGGGAAAATAAGGGAGACGTTTATATGTGGGGCAAGAGCAGTTCAGGTAGAGGTCATAGAAAATGCTAATTCCCTAAGGTCAGAAGAAACTTGGCTCATTTGTATTTGAGGAAACAGCAGGAGCCAGTGTGGCTGGAGCCAAATGAACAAGTGGTAGAGATATAAGAACTGAGAGGTTGTTACAATTTGTTCTAAGACTGCCAGGAGCTACTTGGAGGCTTTGAGGAGGAGTGTCATGTTTAAAGAGGATCACTCTGAGTACACTTCCCCAAGCCTAGGTGCATGTTGAAATCAGAGAGACCAGTGGGTAGAGAGTTGCTAGTGGCTTTCACTAGGATATTAGCAGTGGGAGAAGACAGTCCAATTTGGGATCTTTGGGGATGGTATAGACGGCAGCATTAGCTAATGGATCAAAAGTGGGATATATGAAAAAGAAAGTAACCAAGTGTGAGTGGATTTTTCTACTGAGCAATTGGGTGAACCTACATGCCCTTTACTAAGACAGGGAATCCAGGGGACAGAAATAAACTGTTTTGTTTTGAATATATTAAGTTTGAGATGCCTAGTGTATATCTGAGTAGGGATGTTGACTTTCCAGTTGAGCATATGAGTCTGAAACTTGGAGCTGTAGCCTGAGATGAACATTTGAGCATTATTGGATGGTCATTACAATCCAGGGCACTGGGTGGAGTCAATGAGGAGTGAAAGCCAAAAGCACAGGAGATGGAGTATGAGGACTGAGCCCAGGACATGCCTATTTCTAAGACTGAGAGAAGAGGACGGCCAGAGAAGGAAACCAGAATAAATGGTCATTGACTTACAAGGAGAACGCAATGTTCTGGGAGCACCTAAACACAGAAGTTTAGAAAATACATAGGTGACGCTCCCCTTGACTGCGCCCGACTTTAAAAGATCACCCAAGTCCCCTGTGCCTAGTCCCATCTACATTCCTTTCTGTACAACAGGTCCTATACCCAAGGGTTCATGTTCAATGTTCTGCTCTTTATTTCATTCTTATCCACTTCCTAGCCTATCCCTATCCTGTTCCATAGCATGTTGTTGATGTCAAAGGCCAGGGTCCATGTTCCACATTCATACAAAGTCCATTTTCCCTCTAGCATAACATTTCACAAAAAAAGTTGCTCATAAACAAGCACCATGTTAATCATCTAGAAGCGAACCATTTTCTGTATTAAACTAAAAACAAATGATACAACGAGATGCACAAAAACAACAAGGTCGTTGTTCAGCAGTTATTTTCTGGACATTAAATTAACTGAACTTTCTCATATTTATGAGAAAATAATTGATGCTCATAATGATATCCTTAAATTAATATATGGTCCCCAAAGCCTTCTTAGTCATTAAAGAAAAATGAATTACAGCGAGTATCCTTTAGGATGAAGCCTAATACCTCATGTTCTAGTTCTTCTAAAATCAGAAATTAATGTGTGCTCATATAGCTTAACTCTATTAATTAGAATAATTGATCAAGCAGAAAAATATATTTTCTCAGCACAGCTAATAGGCAAATGAATGTATTAGGATTGAATCAGCTGAAAGGAGAGGCAGGGGGCATTTCTGTTCTGGGCTGTCCATTGCTGGGGACAGCCGTGCTGGTGAGGGTGCAGATCCCAGTCTTGGCAGAGAAGTGGAATCAGTGTCGGGCTGGGCACTGCATGTTTTAAGGCCAACGCTGTCAGGAGCATCCATAGACAGTGGAAGAAATACAGAAATTAGGAGGAGCTAAGGCATCCATGGTGTGGGGATTACATTGTGGTTCAGACTCAATTCACATGGGTCAGCCCTGAGGCCTCCTGTTCTGGTAAGAAATAATTGACATCAAACAAGGAGCCTAAGGAATGGCTCTGATTTTCCAGTATTAGACTCAAACAGAATAATTTTCACCCCCTGTGAATGCTTTCCAGGCACGTCTAAAGTCATCCTTTACAGGTGGGCAACTATTTCCAGCAAACCAGGGAAAATGGAGAGGTTCCTAAGTAACTGGATGGTGCCCAAAATACTGCAGATCGAGGAACTACCCAAATGCCTGACTCCAGACACAAAGGGGAAGAAGCTGAGGAAAAGTGGACTCTTGACTTCCATGAGAATGCTGCTTTTCATCCCTTTTTAAACCCATTTGCTCAACCAACACTGACTGCAGTCCTACTTGCTTGGTCTGGAGAGAGAGAAACAGAGTGGATAAGTCCAAATCTTTGCCTCCTGGGAATCTCAAGCTGGGTGTAGGAGAAGACAGCAAGATAGATGGACAAGCTCGACAGAGGCGGGGGCTGGGTGATGTCACTTGGGGAGGAGACAGGGCCAGCTCTGCACAGGGAGGAAGGAAATGAGAAGGAGCAAGCAGGGCTTCCCAGAGAAGTCGATGGCTAAACTCAGTTTTCAAGGATCGCTGGAGGTTTTCTAGAAGGTGACGCAGGAGTGGGCAGTGACATGAAAACGATAGTGGCACAAGAGTTCAAGTTGCATCCTGGGATGTGAAAGTTGTTTGATGGGTTTAGAATGCTTGAATGCGTATGGAAAAGTGGCACAAAATACATCCTGAGAAATAAAGGGCTGTGTGGGCAATCTAATACAGACTTGGGGTTTTAATTGAGGAGTCAAAAAAAAAAAATCAAAAGGCCGACTGGTGTGGCTCTGTGGCTTGGGCATTGTGCCTCAAAGTAAAGGGACACCTGTTTGATCCCTGGTCAGGACACAGGCCTGGGTTGTGGGTCAGGTCCCAGGTTGGGGTGCTTGTGAAAAGCAACTGATCAATGTTTCTCTCCCTCTCTTTCTCTCTCTCTAAAAAGAAATAAAATCTCTTAAATAAATCCAAAGGATTTAGGCTGTCACTAATTTTATGTGGTAATTTAGGTAGCTGGGCCTTTGGTTTTTAAATCCCTGCCATGAATTCTGAGGTTGAATCTAAGACCTGCACTCTCAACGAGATTGTTATCAGCACACAGCATGGCCGGTAGCAGCCACTCCAGGGGTAGCAATAGCCACTGTCGGAGTTCAGATGTGCAATGACACCTCTTCATCATCCCTGGACTAGATGATCCAAGCATTCCTTTAACAAGTTCATTGATACTTCCTATGAACAAAAGACTTCAATGTCTTCTCTAAACCTATGGATGAAAACCTTCAAAAAGTGGGGTGCCACCTCCAAGATTAACATCTGTCCTGATACCGACTGTATCAAGAAGAGCAGAGTATCTTATGGAAAACGTACACTTCTTTCCTCTCCAGGAAGCTAACTGGGATGGAGGACATACAAGGTTCTCTTGATCTCTGAGCATGTCGGAATAGTGCTCAACCACGTCAGACTTCCTAACATAATGATCTTTCCACCGTCTGTCCTGTTCACTCCACTTGCATCATCAAACCTAATACTTACTGCATATTACGTAAACATTAAATATTTGAAAGGATGAATGAACCAATAAATCAATGAATAAAAGTCATCAGACTATTTTCTCTGATATTTTTGGGCCAAAAATATAGTTATGACTAATCAATGGGTACGTTTTACCTACAGCAAACAAGGTGGCTATGACAGCGTCAGGCATTATTTGTAACATTTGATGTTTAAAAACATATAATACTATTTTTCTCTGAAAACAAAAACAGAGAGCTCGTTAAATAAATACATGAATTTCTTGAGCAACATGACCTTTTAAGCTTCATTTGCGTAGGCTGGAATACCGTGGATATGAAGGAAATGTGAGGTTTCTGTTGTCTTAAAAGATACAGACCTTATGATATAGTCCTGGATTGAGAATTACATTTTGTAGTTTCCTGTTCTTAGAACCTGTGAATACATGTGAGTAAATCAACTTCATCTTCTCTGTTTAGGGTCTCACATTATTGAAAACAGGATAATTTCTTTCCACTTAATATTTTATCAATGACACCTGAACTGCAAACCAGACAGCTCCCAACTGATCAGGAAACCCGCTATGGTGTACCAAGCTACTGTAACTCAGAAACAGATGTTTACTGAGCACTTTCTTTGCCTTAAAACTTTAACCAATGTCTTTGCATTCAGTTCCCACCTTGACCAAATTTTTCCCTACACACACACAAGTACACGTGCAGGCACACATGTGCACATGCACAAACTCTCACACACATCTTTACTGAAATTCAGCAGTTCAAC